AATTATTTGAGAAGCCTGAACAGTTAGGTACAAGAGTCACTGGTTAATGACGGGTCTGGATGCCTTGGCTTCCTGTTAATTGAAGTTTTTCTATAGAAGGTTTTCCTGTTTTGCAGATGAAACCGCTGCCACCACTGTCAGTGCCCAGGTGTGTGTGCTTCACAGCAAGCTGTGCCTTTCACCGGGTCCTGAGGAGCCCCGCTGATGAGGAGCCCTGATGGGTAGCAAGGTCTTGCCTGGGCACACTCTCCTAAGTAAGGAGCAAGGCTTCCGGGGCTGCTATTGTTAGTCTCCGGCTGCAGCATTCAGCCAGCCCAGTATTTGATTCTTAGCTTCCTTGTGTCCTCTTAGCCAAACTGGGCCTCTTAAATATGTCCCTGAATTAATTAATTAATTGAAGGGCTTCGACTACCCAACTATGCACATAAATTCTGATCAGACCTAGAGAGAGGCCCACTGTTCCACCCTTTCCCATCCCGTCTGGCCCCAACGCCAGAAAATACAACAGCAGCTAAAATAACGGCTGCAGTAGAAAATAACAAAGCTAACTGGCAACTACAAGTAAATTTAACATATATTGGGTGGTAAAACTAAATGTGGAAAAAATAACAAAGAACCCCTGGGTACTCACCTTAGTGCTAAAATACAAATAACAGGCCAGAAGCAACGGCTCATGCTTATAATCCCAGCACTCTGGGAAGCCAAGGATCCCTTGAAATCAGGAGTTCAAGACCAGCCTGAGTAAGATAGAGATCCTATCTCTACTAAAAATAGGAAAACTAGGAGGGCATTGTGGTGGGTGCCTGGAGTCCCAGCTATTGGAGAGGTTAAGCCAAGAGAATTGCTTGCGTCCAGGAGGTTCCTGTGAGATCGGCTGAAATCATGGCACTCTAGCCTGGGCAACAGAGTGAGATTCAGTCTCAAAACAAAAACAAAAAAAAAAGCAAAAAACATACAGATTATAGCTCTGATATCTCACAGTCAGCTAGAGCAAAGGATTGTTACCAATGTGGGTTTCTTTCTTGCTTATCTCTAGCAGATAAAAGGAACATTTTTCTTTTTAATCAGATAACACCTTCATCCAAACCCGGGCATTGCCTTTAGGATGGGACATTTTACTACTGCAGGGCAGCCTCAGAAGCCAGAAAAGTGACGAGAGGAGCGGTGCCTGTGGCTCAGTGAGTAGGGCGCCAGCCCCATATACCGAGGGTGGTGGGTTTGAACCCGGCCCTGACCAGTTTAAAGCAAACGGTGACAACTGCAACAATAACAACAAAAATAAAGTCTTTTTTCAAATAAATACATAAAAGAGATGAGAGGAAGGAGAACAGAAGGCAAATATGGTGGAATGAAGGGGGAAAGTTCTGACTGAACGTGGTTGCTCAGTGAGCAAACACCTTGCAGTATCAAGCCCTTTTCCACTTCCTAGAAAGGTCATGATGCTATCACCTTCCAGATGGCCTCTCTTCAACTCGTTGTTTAATGTTTTAGTATCTGCAAGAGTTGTCTTTTCAAAGCCATTGGATATAAAGCAGCTTACAAGAAAACATAATAATCTTGTAGGAACGTACACAAATATTCTGGCGTTGGGAGACGCTGCTGCTGCCTCTCACCCTGCGATTAACCAGCTCAAGAGCAGAGAGCAGGTCTGAGACTGCTCTGGATCTCACTCTCCAAATTTGTAAAACAAGATGTATGTATAACTAGATGGCTGCTAGTCCTCCTTCTATCAAGAGCCTCATCTGATAGGCTGATATATCACAGTCCCTGGCACTTGGCAATGCCCAGCTTGAATCATGGATTTGCTATTTATTTTGTCACTTATGCTAAGCCTTGGTTTCCTCATTTAGAAGAGGAGAATAATGAACAGTATACCCATCTGCTTTACAGAATAGTTACAAATACTGTAAGGATATACCATATCAAATACCTAGTTGGACGCTGGTACATATTAAGCCTTCAAAAAAAGTTGTCTACTGTTATTGCTGTTAGTAATATACTACAGAAGAAATGGATGGAACAGGCTCTGATATAGGAAGCACAAATAACTTTAAATTTAACAAGAACAAAAGTAAATTTTTTCATCCATGTTTTTCTCATTACAAACATAATATTGTTCATTGTAAAGATGTTAGAAAGTATTTTTCAAGCCTTCGTTTGAAAAAGATATCTGAAAAATAAGGTGTATCTCTTCTACAATGAGATAATTTTTGAGATAAAATGGCCAAATGACTTTGAACTTTAACATTGCTAAATTTAAGTCTCCCAAACGTCAAAAAACGAGACCACCCCTAATGACTGAAATTCATGTTCTCTCTTTTTGTGGCTCTCCCATTTAAAAACGATTTCCTTCCAAGGAGGGGAACTACAGAAAGCATTACCCCAAATGTCTCTTCTCGGCCCCCCGCTGGGGCTGGCCCTATTTCCGGTCAGCAGGCAGCAGCTGTTGTTGACGGCCAGTTGCCCTTTTTCCTCTGCACCTGCCCTATCCAGCCTCACACAGATAATTTACAGCAAGCGTGACCTCAAAGCTGGGAGCGAGACAGCCTGCCAGGGTCTGGAGATCTTGACAGTGAACAAGCGCCTGCCCTACCACGTGACACCGAGCATGGTTCGCAGATGATGTCGGTGAAACAGCTCCAAAAGGATTTATGAAAAACATTTTGCTCTGGGCATCCTGGGAAATCCTGACCAGGCAGGCAGACACGGACTGTTTTGCAGTCCTTAGCACCCTTGTACCTCCATTATGCAAGTAAGTTTTATGATGCTAAGAGCCTGTTACAAATATCACTCACTCATAAAAAGTAATGAAATTCTGACACGTGTTCCAACCTGAATGAACCTTGACGACAGAATGCCAGGACAAAAGAACAAATAGTGCACGATTCCGATTACATCACGTACCCAGGATAAGCAAATCTGAAGAAACAGAAAGTAGCGTAGAGATTATCAGAGGTTCAAGGGAGTATAGGGGAGAGGAGGTATTGTCTAATAAGTACAGAGTTTATGTTAGTGATGATGAAAAGGTTCTGAGTGCAGGCCGGGAGCAGGGGCTCACAGGTGTGATCCTAGCACTCTGGGAGGCCAAGGCAGGTGGATTGCCTGAGCTTAGGAGTTCGAGACCAGCCTGAACAAGAGACCTCATCTCTAAAAAAGAAAAATAGCCAAGCATTGTGGCGGGCACCTATAGTCCCAACTACTTGGAGGCTGAGGCAAGAAGATGGCTTGAGCCCAAGAGTTTGAGGTTGCTGTGAGCTATGACGCCACTCCTCTCTACTGAGGGTGACAAAGTGAGACTCTGTCTCAAAAAGAAAAAGTTCTGAACACAGATAGTGTTGAAGCTTATACAACATCATGAATGCATATAATTCCACTGAATTGTACGGCTATAAGTAGTTAAAATGACAAATGTTGATCTAGCGATCGCATTTCTGAGTACTCACCTAAGATTTGAAATTGGTTTGTCAGAGAGATGTCCCATGTCCATTACAGCACTATTCACAATATTCAGACTATGGAATTAACCTAAGTGTGCATCAACATATGAATGAATTTTTAAAATGTGATCTATATACACAGAGGAATATTATTCAGCTTTTAAAAAGCAGAAAATTCTCAGGCGGTGCCTGTGGCTCAAGGAGTAGGGCGCCAGCCCCATATATTGGGGGTGGTAGGTTTGAGCCCGGTCACAGACAAGAACTGCAAAAAAAAAAAAAAAAAGCAGGAAATTCTCAACCAGACGTTGTGTCTCACACGTGTAATCCTAACACTCTGGGAGGCCAAGGCAGGAGGATTGCTTGAGGTCAGGAGTTTGAGACCCACCTGAGCAAAGAGAGACCCTGTCTCTACTAAAAATAGAAAAATTAGCTGGATGTGGTGGTGCACACCCGTTTTTCCAGCTACTCGGTTACCTGGGGGGCTTGAGACCAGGAGTGCGTTGTTGCTGTGAGCCTGGCTGAGACAATAGCACTCTAGCCCAGAAGACAGAGCAAGACTCTTCTTTCAAAAAAAAAAAA